TTACATTACCACTTCTGGGAATGTATCCGACCATCAAATTGGCTAAAGGAAAGATTTATTTATTTATTTATTTATTTTATTTTATTTTTTTAAACAAAGTTGCAGTTTTTTCATTAATAAACAGTTGGAGGCCGGGAATCCCTCCACATCTCAACCCGGAGTAACCAGATTAAGCTGGAAACCGGGTCCAGCTTCCCTGAGCTGCAAGCTTCTAAATAAAAGAGCAACTGGACTAACAAAACTGACCAACAGCAATAAGGGAACCAAGGTCTATCCTGGTACTGGAAACCGGGTCCAGTGTCCCTGAATTGTAATTTTCTGATATCTTTGGCAGCCGAAACTACCATTACTGACAACTGAAAACAGGAGACTAAGAACTGGAAATCGGGTCCAGCGTCCCTTAGTTAAATCAGTATTATAACTTCCATCAGCGGCCTATCATCCGGACTGGGTTAACCATTTGGAGAAGACGATCTTGCCGTCTGGGGCGACAACCGCTAGCTTGTTGTCCTTCGCCCATGTTTTCCTGAGCCTTAGTTGGTTGGAGAAGGATTGCTTCCCTGATCTCCACCAATCTGCAATTATTAGGAGTCTGATGTTGGACCTCATTCTGGCGGTAATCTGGGGGGGGGGAGCTTCCTCCTTCCTGAAGATCCTTGCGTTGCGAGCAGCCCAGATCCCCTCCATTACCACCCCTCTACATGCCAGGGCGACGTAGCCTAGACCTTGGAGAGAGTGGCCCGAAGGGGGTACGCCTGAGAGAATCCAAGAATCCGACCATTCGAACGCATCGTTGAACATTGCCTTCCATTGCTCTTTCCACCAGTCCCATACGTGTGTTGAGATTGGGCAGTCTAGCCAAAGGTGGGAAGAGGATTCCCAGTTCCAATTGCACCCCAAGCAGGTAGTATCCAGATCCATGCCCTTCGACTTCAGCCACGTGGCTGAGGGGGTTACCTGCAAGGATTGAAGCCACATTATCGCACTCTGCTTTTGGGAAGGGATTTTCTTTAAGGCTTTCCACAAGTTCCTGAGTCCTGAATCCAAGATTGTGTTGGGGTGCGATTTTGACCATCTGGTCAGGGCTGTTTCGGCCGGTCTCTTTTTGACTTCCAGACGTTGTATGTGTACGCCTAGCTTGGTCTTGTAGTTGTATATGGGGGTGAATTCAGGATATGGATGTTGAGTGTTTCATCCCATGTGACGCGCTAACCTCACGTCCTGTGCTGTCTACCGTTCGGAGTGTTAGCTGTGCGAAAAAGAGGCCCAAAAAAACAGCAAGATGGGGTGTGCCAAGGATTTTTGGAAATTGAGTGTGGGGACACAGACAGAACTGAGATCCCCCGTGTTGGTCCGATGGAGCAAGTCGATTGTTTTCGCGCGTCGTGGAAGGTGCGCTCGGGCAAGGTGGGAAGGAGGGAAAAATCCAAATTCAATCCAAAAAGTATTGCCGTGCCTCCCATTGGGCTACCTTTCGTCGTTTACAACAGAAAGGCTTGGGCACCCTTTGCGTATCTCGTTTCCGTATCAGGTCTCGTCGACGTTCACTGGTTAGTTATGAGTCCGACGTGGATGGTCTCAGCCGTGTGGCTCTTTCTTTGTGCTCGTCTTCACTCCGTATTCGGTATTGAAAGCCTTTCGATTCGTAGTGATCGAAGCGCTGGCACTCAGTGCACAAGGTTCGAGGCCAATGAGGCGCCACTGCCGTCCACGGAATGACGATCAATTCGTTAAGGGGAGCAATATCGAGTAGGGTGGGAAGTGGGTATCGATAATGACAAAGCCCGCATCCACGAATCCAGAGCAACGATTTTCGGGAGGGAAGAAGTAGTGTCTGCCGATTCGTGCGACCGCTTCTCGTATGTCCCACTCGCAGACACGTRTCCTTTCCTCGCTGTAAGGAAAAGGTCGCGTTGGGATGGGAGATACGGGAGGCTGGCGCCCAGTCGGAGGGTACTCGTTGGTCCACATGTCAATCAATCACGAAATATCTTGAGACGTCATTAAAAAGCGATCCGCGCGTCCCGTAATCAATCTTTTTGACACGAGAGAGAGAGAGAGAGAGAGAGAGACAGAGAGAGAGAGAGAGAGAGAGAGAGAGAGAGAGAGAGAGAGAGAGAGAGAGAGAGAGAGAGAGAG